ATTTAAAAAATTCAAAAAAGAGAGAAATATAATATCTAATACATTTCATCAATCTAAAAGCAAACTCTTCCTTCAAGAATTAAAAAGCTTGAGGAATGTGAGTTCAGTAGAGGAGGTGACAACAGTGCTGAAATTGATGTGAGTTTAAAAAAAAAACAAGCAACAAAAAACAAAGGTTGTTTATTGACTCTAAGTTTTATAGGCACCAATAATGGGGTAGGGTTGCTTATATGATTTTTTATTGTATTTTCAATTTAGCTTTAAGCTCTTTTTTTTTTTTTAATGTTTATTTATTTCTGAGAGAGAAAGAGACAGAGTGTGAGTTAGGGAGGGTAGAGAAAGAGGGAGACACAGAATCCAAAGCAGGATTCAGTCTCTGAGCTGTCCACACAGAGCCTGACGTGGGGCTTGAACTCATGAACTGTGAGATCATGACCTGAGCCGAAGTCAGATGCTTAATCGACTGAGCCACCCAGGTGCCCCTGAAATTTTATTAACAAAAGCATGGGTCCTAGGTTATTACAATCAGAGGTTCTTTTTTTTTTTTAATTTTAATGTTTTATTTATTTCTTTTTATTTATTTTTTTAAATGTTTTATTTCTGAGAGAGAGAGACACCATGAGCAGGGGAGGATCAGAGAGGGAGGGAGATACAGAATCTGAAACAGGCTCCAGGCTCTAAGCTGGCAGTCAGCACAGAGCCCGACGCGGGGCTCGAACCCACGAACTGTGAGATCATGACCTGAGCCAAAGTCGGACGCCCAACCAACTGAGCCACCCAGGTGCCCCTGCAATCAGAGGTTCTATTCTTTGTTAGTTGCACAAAATCTGGAAAGGTGTTCAATGCACAGGACCATGTTCTAAGAGGAAAACTGAAAAGAATAGCAGAAAGATGGGAAAATGCTTCGAGGAGGGAACTAGAGGAAACAAAATTCCCTTGAAATACTTGAAAGCAGTTACACAGAATCACATATAGACTCATCCTGTGTTCCTCTAGAAGGCAAGACAGACCAAAATACAGATATCATAAAGAGGAGGGTTCAACTCAACTTCAGAAAACAAAGAAGTTACCATTGAAGGCACTGCATTAGTGAGGTCCCCATCACATTTGCATAGAGTGTGGAATTCCACTGAGAAGATTCCCAGTATCTCCCTGCAGGAAGGCTGCCCTGAATCAACTCTATGATTCTATCTTCTATCACACCTGAATAGCTTCTGAGAGTAGCTTTCAATTTTTTTAATGTTTATTTATTTATTTTGAGAGAGCGCACAAGTAGGGGAGGGGCAGAGAGCTAGGGAGGGAAAGAATCCCAAGCAGGCTCCACACTGTCAGCGCAGAGCCCAATGTGGGGCCTTGATCTCATGATCAAGTGAGATCATGACCTGAGCTGAAATCAAAAGTTGGACACGTGACTGACTGAGCCACTCAGGTGCCCCAAGAGAGTACCTTTCTATTAATACAAGATGTGTTATTCACAACAATGACCTTGATTCATAAAGAAAACATTAGACTATAATCGGCCATACATCATTGAATCTTGCTGGAGTTGTAGAAGCTTCCTAGAAACTGCTTACTTGTTTTCTAGTAGTTGACTACATTAACATGGGTCAGACCAGCTGAGCAGGTCCAACTTATGGGTGGGACTATCCAGTGTCTATCAGAATGCAGGATTTAAGATAGAAATGTCAGTTGGAAATTAACTGGAAGAGAGGGTCAGATATATCAGCAAGGCTTCTTAGTGTCTCAGACATGAACTAGGGCAGAGATGTGAGGAATGGTTCTCACCTAGATGTGTTTTCCAGCTTCCTGTGAATACACAAATGCCTTAGGGGAGAACACTTGAAAGAACTGCATTGATTAATTGCAAGATAATATTGCTTTGATGCCCATATGATACACCATAGTTGAGGAAGGAAATGTTTCTGTTTTGGTTCAGAACACAAACTGGCTCATCTCATTACATGCTCCAAGAACACAGTGCCATAGTTTTCGGTAGTTTCAACACAGCATAGTGTCAGTGGCAGTATTGGGATCTGGCGGGGGGAAGCACCCAAAAGGAGACAGTTAGGCTGTGCCCTATGGCCAACGACTTGCATTTATTTTTGCATGCGGTGGTAAGAAGCGAAGGAAAGAAGGTAAGGGCTTCCCCGTTAGTATATTGAGATGTGTCTTGGTGATTCCCAGTAATAAAAGAGGGAGGATTCAAGCATAGAGTCCCCATGGAAGAAGGTGAGGGTAAGTAACCATTTCTAGAATAGCTCATTATTCTAAACACAACGTGTCTGCAAATTAAAGGTAACTGTAAATTCTTTGACACTTCTTCCACTGAGAGGTAGGATTGATATGCCCTTTCCTTGAATTTGGGCTAGACTTAATGACCTATTTATCTATATCCAATAAAATGCAAAAAAGTAAAATAAAATAAAATCTCAACAGATGTGATACTATGTGACTCTGGAGGCTAGGACATAAAATGCAATACAGGTTTCACCTTGCTTATAGGAACCCTAGCATTTGGAGCCCCCAGCTACCTTGTAAGAAGTCTGACTGCCTTGAAGCAGCCCTGCTATGAGGAAGCTCACGCCACATGAGGAATGTTATGTTTGGTCATTCTGGCTGATTGCCACCAGCTGAGGTACTACCTTCACTCACCAGGCATATGAGGAACTATGCCTCCAGATTTTTCCAGTCTCCACCCATTGGGACACTTCCGGGCAATGAGTCTTCCCACCTGAGGGTCCCAGATATCATGGAGCAGAGGTACGCCATCTCTGCTGCGCCTTGTCTGAATTGTGAGTAAGAAGGTAAAAACTTTATATTTTGTTAAGGGCAAAACTATGTTTGATCCTCACAATGATATAGTTAGGCAGGTTGGGCTGGCATTATTACCACCATCATTTTGTGGATTAAAATAACAACAACAGGGATTTGAGCTTAACTTCTTTCAGATTATAGATAGCCAAGATATGGCATGCTGATACTCATCTTTGTAGTCCACAAAGTTTATGCTTTCTCTCTATTTTCCTGTCTGGATCCTCTGGAGCTTTAGAATGGCCTACAGAAAGCAAATAAGATATATCCAGATTTAAAGACAAAGTCAGAAAATGTTGAGTGAACAGAGGCTAACAAGAGTCAACATCAAAAGGGTGAAATCAGTTATCCTGTGGAGAAATAACTATGTAAGATATGATCTACAGTTTGTTGCTAATAAAGAAGGCTATAATTTAAAATAGAACCAATGAAAACAAATCTTAGAACTTTGAATGTTATGAGGAAGTGTTATGATGATATAATTTCTTTTAGGGTCTGATTTTAAAAAATGAAATAGTACTGTTAAAGAATTAAAAAATGCTGCAAGTTGTGTTTTTGATAAAACTAAGGGTAAAAGGTGGCATGACTGGCTAACGGTGTAATTTTAGTCTGTTTAGAATATGTCCTTACAGGTAAGAAGGACTGGTATAGCTTGCTGACATTATCTTTTATGATAATCTTCATTTACTCTACTCTTCCCAAGCCACTTTTTGATTTAAATTTAGTTCCTCAAGGAGACTTTTCTACTTGGAAGAGAAAGTACAATGAAGCTAACAAACCTACCACATTCACTCGAAAGGCTGCATTTTTCATTGTAAAGGAATATTAGTATTCTGATTAATCAAGCAGCCACACACACACACACACACACACACACACACACACACACGCCTTACCTTTAGACTAAGGATCAACTCCTGGGCTCATAGTGACTCTATCAGTATGCAGACTTTTGGCTTCAGAAGTCAGGACAGCTTTCTATCTCTTTAATCATGGTGAATACTATAAGGAGGTCACTGGTGAATTTCCTCCTCATGGGAAGTAAAAAAATGTATTTCACTCAAGGCTTCTCGTGGCTTGATGGTTTGGTTACTTTGGTGGTTAAAATTGTACATCATCAGTAGACCACAATATCTTCCACTATGTTTCTCATTCTTATTTCTCCAGTCCTTCCCTCTCCCCCCCCCCCACATATTCCCTTTCCTTTAAATTCAATGTACTTTTAATAACGAATTGGGTGTCTTCAATTTCGTCCTGTAGTTGGGCCTCACAAAGGGAATTTAACTCTCTGATTTTAATGCATACTTTTTACAGATAGCGCTTTAGAATATTCTGTTCATGAAAGGCATGAAGTATTTAAAATGCTTTGAATGATTTTCGTGAGAATAAAAATGCTTTTTATTTCTGATGCTTCAGAAGTCTAGAATGCTGTGCCCTGTGCAGGCCCTTGTACATGGCAAGTTTTCCGTTTACATCTGTTGAATGAATCTGGAAAACGAAAAACACACTTAAAGAAAACGTTTCAGTCCTCAATAAGGGGGAAAAGCTTTTAGACTTCCATTTGGACCTACTTTAACAGGCCAGCTCCTTTAATGAAACAGATACAAAAATCATTCCGATAATTTAGCTGTTCCTAAATATACTTCTATCAAATTCGCTTGGATGTTTCCACCTTGGGGTTTCAAGTCTTATTTTAATGACAGAGACACTCGCTGTAATGTTGAAAAAAACACAAGTAAGCATGGGCTTCCCCATCTCTCTCCCTCTAGGATTTCAACTTCTCGAACACCACCCATGCTCTTCCAGTAAGTCCCACGTTACGGCACGGGTTTAAGACAGGGAAGAAATGAAGTAGGAAATCGGAGCCATGGAAACGGCAGAGCGGAGGAAACGTGCACCCGCGAGGGTGGGCACGAAGGGAAAGAACCCTCCCCTGACGACTGCGCGAGGGCGCTCCTAGGATTACGTCACGCACCCCGGGTGACGTCACGGCCGTGACACGCGGGTGACGCGAGTGACGCCGTTGCCGCGGCGACTTCTAGTCGTCTCCGCCCCCTTCCCCCGCCCCCCGCCTAGCATCCTTCCCCCAATCCCCTCAGGCTCGGCTGCGCCGGGGGCCGCGGGCCGGTTCCTGAGGTGGCCCAGGGGCCCTCCCGCCGCCGGCGCCGCCCGGGCCGCCCCTCCCCGCCGCCCCCCGCCCTCCGCCTCCGCCTCCCCCCGCCCTCCGCCTCTCTTCCCCCTCCCCGCCCAGCAGCGGTCGCTCGGGCCCCGGCTCTCGGTTATAAGATGGCGGCGCTGAGCGGCGGCGGCGGCGGCGGTGGCGCGGAGCAGGGCCAGGCTCTGTTCAACGGGGACATGGAGCCCGAAGCCGGCGCCGCGGCCTCTTCGGCTGCGGACCCTGCCATTCCCGAGGAGGTGAGTGCCGGCGCACCCTACGCCCCTCAGGTCTCTGGGCTCGGCTGGCTGGTGTTTTTGGGGGGAAAAGAGGTGGCGATGGGGGCTCTGGCGCCCTCAGCCACCTTCTCCCTTGGGTTCTGCGGGGTGGGAGATGGGCATCCCCGCCGTGTCCCTCTCCGTCATGCGGCTCCTCGCTACGTAAACACACACAGTGGCCCGGGGAGGGGGGGGTTCCCTGGCTCGCACCCCAGCCTGGGGGATTCAGGCAGCGTTGGTCGAGCAGGAGGCTATCAGTAGGGGGCGAGACTCAGGGCTGGTCTGAGAAGGTCACGGCCGGCTGAAGGTAGCCAGCCTCTCATCTCCTCGATGTTTTCGTTATTTTGGGGCGGGGGTGGGGGGGCGGGGAAGGGTGGCGGCATCCAGGTGGATAGATGTCGGTTAGGAGCCGGGGCCGGGACCCCCGCCTGAGTTACCATTGTAATTACTACATCGCTCCCCTCCACTCTCCCTGCTGTCCCCCCTTTCAGGCCGCTGCCCTCCCTGCCACTTTTCTACTTGTTTGGAGATTTCTTTTCACCTGTTTTTACCCAGCAGATGCTTTGAATTTAATCTTCACTTTTTCCAGTCTTAAATCCCACTGTTTCCGCTCTCCTCTGCATCCCGGTGTGAGGGCCCCAGTTCTGTCTGCCTGCGCTCTGTCGCTGAGTGGTACCCCCCCCACCCCCCATCCCATTCCCATCTGCCGCTCCGCTCTTCTGCCGGTTGTCGGACCTGCCAGCCTTCAAGCCCCAGGATCTACTTAAGACCGTTTTTGCACTTCTCTTACCCTAGTTCTCTTTAGGCCCTCTGGATCATTCTATTGCTCCCTAACGTTGTTACCTGTTAACATAACAGATACGTGTTGGACGCTTTGGAGCTCCTTCTGAATCCTGAAGCTGTCAGGATTCCATCAGGTTTCCCTTGAACTACCTGGCACTTTTTGGCTAGTCTTCCATTGTGCGTTCATACCTTTTTATTTTTTCCTACCCATTTTTAAATAGATTTGATTGATTTCTTTCTGTTGTCCTCCTTTTTGTCCCAGTTTTTTCCTTTCCTTTTTTTTTTTTTTTTCCCCTCTTTGGCTCCTGCTTCTCTCAGCCCCTCATCACCTTGCATTATTCAGCCCCTTATCACCTTGTCAAATTACTTACATTTGGTTTTTAAGGAAAACTTCTTCCGTTTAGTATTTGGTACTGTCTTGTATGGAATAATACACTTTTATTATAATTTGCAAATAGTGAGATGTTAGTATAATAACCGTGCTTCGTAGTTATTGATTAGATAACGTGACAATTCTGTTGACTTTGCTTAAAAGTTCTCTTTCCTTCCTACTGTTTACATTTTGTTTCCCAATTCTCGTAATGTCTTATTCTTTCTTCTGCCTGTGCAATACTCCTTTCCTGCTTCATCACCTTTACTTTGGAAATTCGTCCCATATGCTTGCTCCGGTATTAGTTTGTTCACAATTATGGTTGTTTTTCAGTCTCCGGTACCACCCCCATCTATGCCCATGATGTGTTCTATGCCGTCATCTGGTCTAAAGTTATCATAGTCTTTTCTTCTTTATTAAATTGCACTACTTTCCACTTAATTTTTATTTGGGATTTTTGCTCAGATCAGTTTCCTCTAACATGTGTTCATTTTCACTAACTTGTATTCTAAGGATAGCTCTTTTCCTTCTTCCATTTCCTAGTTTACTCTGATTTCCTTGTCCCCAGTTACCATTCATTCGGCCTTGTTTCCTGGCTTTTGGTTCTTAACTTGCTGAAGCTTCCTCTTGTCTTCCCCGCACCTCCACATTCCTTCTTATTTATAAACAGCTTTGAACAGCTTTGTTCCGTTGACATGGAAATTTATTTTTAGGATGAATTGTTTTTAATGGATAAATACTAGGGGTCACATCTGCCGTCTGTTTTTTCCATGAATCGGATAGGCTCCCTTTACTCTGTAGTGTATGTGTGTGGTTTTGTTGAATTTTCACTTTGAAGACTATTACAGAGTGGAAGCATGGGCAAATGAATGGGTATATGGGTCATGAAATTGTAATTCTCTGGCCATAACATTGTTTACGTTGAGAACTTTCAGACTCCGTAGGACAGTTTGCAATGACATAGAGAAGTCTTTTGTTAGGTACAGTCTCCGCTATCTAATTTGAAAGGGCCAGATTGTTTGAGCTCTACCCTCTGCAGATTCTGATTCTGGAGGTGAGAGCTAGCGGCATACGTTTCTGTATTTGCACACTTCCTGGGCCGTTCTCATGTATCAGTGATTGAGAACCACCGCGCAAATGATTTTAAGTTTAAATTGCCAATAATCAGAAAGCATATTGGTGTCTCCTAAAACTACAAGGATACTCCTAACTAAATTTAAGTAGTTAAAAGTGTTTTGTGCGGTGTTCTCCGCTCAGGTTTTAATGTTTAGTGATGAATGGTTTTACCTCTATAATTTCTCGATAAGAACTGATCTAAAAGTTATTTGAATGGGGAATAAATGATTAAAAGTGGATCTCATTTGAATGTAGTTACCAATGTTATGGATGCCAGAATAAATTCCTCCAAGAAATACTTTAAAATCTGAAGTTGGTACTGTTAATTCAGTGAAAACTGAAATGTACCACGTGTGCTCTTTTAATGGAACTGTCTTCGTTATGTGCACTTAAGGAGGCAGACTTGCCAAGTGCATGGAAAGAAACGGAAAGTTGTGCTTGTGTAAAATGACACATCTTATTCTAAAGAATTTCCTTACCTGACATTAAGATAGAGTTGGTGTTGTTTTTTGTAACGTTTCTTAGAGGGAAACTTCAGCTTTCAGGTGCATTAAAAAATTTCTGACTACAGTGGGAAAGCACATTTGTTACTGAAAAATTAGAAAGCTGTAAGTATAAAAAGTTAAAAAAATCTAATCATGTCACGAGGATATAAAAGTATAAACATTTTGGTGTATATCCAGAACATTTTAATGCTTGCATAATAGAGTATATGTGGATTTATAGTATTTTAAACTTAATGTATTAAAATGTTTTATTACACTTCATTAGGTAATACTGTGATTTTTTTTAACTAATTTCTTTTGGGTATTCAAGATATTTTTACTGCTTGTTATCAAACATCTTGAACATAGAATGTAGATTTTAGTTTTTGAAGTTATGTCAGGATGTGAACAATTTTTTTGTCCTGTGTTTATATTTGTAGACCTTAAGGTAGAATATTCTGGTAAATAACAGGATCTTATTAAATATTTATGAAATGAATGTGCTTATACCTTTGGCATTAAACCTTTACTTCTGACCATTTATATTTCTCTGATATTTCTTTCTATGACTACATTGTATGATTTGGGATAATGTGACTACATAGTATTACAAATACATTTACTTAAAGAATGTGTTATATCAGGGTGTGATATCTATTAACAATTCTTCTGTTGTGTTTCTGTAGAAGGAGCTTCTTACAATTGCATTACAATTAAAATTATATTGTTTTCATGATCTCTTATCGCCAGCCTTAGTTAAGCTATGTAATTATAATAATGCATTGACTAAGCAGTATTCTGGGATGGGATCTTCTTTATAATGTGGTCCACTGTCTTAAAACACATCTTTTGAAACCATGCAAAATGGAGGTAGTCCGTTTAGGGTACTGCGTGCTTGTGTAGTTCTGGTATTGCTGTTAATACTTGTCTAGGTATTTTTGAAGGTTGACAAAACATGCCTGCTAGGCATAACTATAAGATAGCTGTTTTTGTCTTAAGTATTTCTAGTGGTCCCTTTCTGTACTCTTTCTCTCTCCTTCCCTCCTTTACGTATCCACTTTTATTTAGAAAATTATCTGATAATCGGTCACTTACATATGCTGGCTGGCTGTTAAAGAAATCATTTGTTAGTAAGCCGATAAGAAAGGAATGTTGGACCTGGATGCTTGAATCTTTGAATGTAGTAAACCGGAATGCAAACTTGATTTAATGTTGTTTGGGTAATAGGCCAGAAAAATTATATTAGGATAACAAGCTAGAAAACTTTGACTTTTCTCAGTTCCCTGTCCTTTACTTTTCCTGATAAGGATGAATAGAAAGCTGAACTAACAACTGGAAACCTATGTTCTCTGAGTGGTGGGGAAGAGAGGGAAGGAGCCGACTATATTGTTCTTTAGCATTTCCTATGACCTGATGCTTACTTTGTTAAATGTGGCAGCTGCTTAGCATTCTTTTTCCTTTTTCCCCCCAATCATTAAGTTGTTTTCTCCTTTAGGATTGCAAAGTGCATATTTTCTTTGACACCTTGATATTAATTTAGCTGAGTTCTTAGTGTGACCATTTTGTGTCACAATCCCCTTGTTTTAGGAAATGCAGTATGTTGCTATGCTTCCTATATTTCTGCCTTGAATTGTCATTAAAATAAACCTTTATTGTCAGTAGCTCTTGCTGGATTTCGTCTTCCTCAGAAGTTGAATTAAGTCCTTTACTTATTCTCTTTGTCTACATAGGGTATTCTGTGAAGTCAGGATCAGCAATACTTAGAAAACTGAATTCTGAATTATGTCTGCTGCTTTTGTAGACTTAATGTTATAGATAATATAAGAACCAAAAAAAGTCTCATTTGTTCCATTCCTTCGTTAAATATTTGCTGGAGGCATTGATGTATTCTGGGAGGTAGTTTTTATTTTTTAGTTTCTTTTGGCTACCAACCTAATTTACTATCATACATAATTAGCATGGTAGAAGAAACTCTTAAGACAGCCTACACCCTAACATTAAGCAATTATTTTTTTTCTACCCTCTACCCTCTGAGATTATTTTGGTTTCCATGTTTTCTCTTGGGCTTAAAAAAAACTTTTAGTCTTGTTTCTTCCCCTATCAAGACTATGCATAGAGAGGGAAATTGATGCCCAGTAACATTACATTCCTTTCGGGGTCCTGGGAATGTAGTTGGTACAGAGTATAAAAATTGCTCTGAACTCAATTAACTTTGTCGTCAGGAAGCT